TTTAAGGGGTGCTGAAAACGAAAAAATGAAGTGATACTCCTCACTTTCAGATTATACTAGTTACATCACAATATTTACATGCCATATGATTTCAGGGAAGTTTGAAATTGCGCTTTCTTCCCCAAGCCACTAACATATTTAGAAAAAAAAAGACAACCCTTAAGAAATCATTTACACTTGCAGTATTTCTAGCCCTGTTGAGACAAAAGCCAAAGGAATGCACGCATGGACATTACAAAGATTGAAACAAGCAGTAGATAATGGTGACTGACTGACACTACTGTATGCTTTATTTTTTTAAGTTTATTTTGTATGTAATTTTTTTCCTTAACAAAAGGATTTATTAATGTTCTGTCATCTGTTTTTTCCATAGCTCCTTTGTGGTGGAAAGGCAGCCTTGCATGCCAACACATCCTCAGAGGCCATTAGTCCTGAAGACTGGAGTACAGTTTACTGTGAAGTTGAGGTATTTTTCCCCTTTCCTCTTCCTACTTTGTGATAAACCTTTCATTTCATTGACTTCCTATAGCTGAGAGGCTTGCACGCTAGACTAATTGCCCAAGTCAGGTGCAGGCAGGAGGGAAGTGCCCTGTGGCAGGGGATGCCATCTGTCAAAGCTTAATATGCATTTAAGTTTTTACACTTTACCAGGAGTTAGGAGCATTGAGTGTATGAGAACACAACCAAATAGCTAAACAGACACACGCAGACCATTCTGTCATGCAAAAGAGTAACTTATTTGCCAATCTGGCTTGATCTCTAGACAAGGAAGAGGGGGCAGTATCTATGGGCCTTGCTAATTTATCCTGTCATTGGATCTGCACCATCTTGTATGGAACAAGCTTGGGCCCTGGGCTGTGCAGTTTAAATATAACCTGTGATAAGCAGCACTGTAAAAGAAAAGATTTTTTGCAGTTGCAATTACTTTTTTTTTTTAATTTCTCTTTCCAGATTGCTGGTGAAGTTGCAGGAGTTGAACTATAACTTGAAAGTGAAGGTTTTATTTGATAAGTATGTTGCATTTTTCTCATCCCTGTGTATGCTAATGATAAGCAGTCCCTGCATTGAAAAATCCAAAAGGCAGTCATGTTTTAGTGTTGGAGTTTGCGAGGAGCATGCTGCTTCTCTGTGGCAGCAGGTTTACTCTCCCCTTTACTCTTCATTAGGGGCATTAGCCCAAAGCAGGGGGAGGCCTCAGTTTCCCGCCACCAGCTCCGCTCAGGATTGTGGAAGGGGGCTCACTGCCACATCTGTCTGGGCACAGAGTAGCACTTGGTCCTCATGTGCACTGCAGACCACTTTTCTCTGCTGTGGGTGTTTCACTCAGGCTAGTGCTAGCTGAAGGCATAGCACTGAACTCTGTTTCCAGTCTCACACAGCTTCCCTACTTTGCAGGTGTTTCTCTAAAATAGCTTACTTTTTGAATAGCTTTAGGATAGCCTCTAGTGAGGAATCTGGCTATCTTTGACAAACTAGTGCCCTTAAGCAACATTTGACATACAGTGTTAGTGAAAACTTGCAGTTATCTAAACAGACATCTACCAATCCTTTGTAAGCAAGTTCAGCTGTTTACAAACACAGAAGATAAATTTAACACTTGTTTTTAAGAGGCCAGGGATGAGGGAGGACACCTAACAGGCTCTCCAAAATCATGACAGTGGCTGTAAGGTCATGAGAGGGGTTTGTGCTTTTAAAAATTGAGATGGTTTTCGCCTTCGAGTTTGGATCTTCAGGGGACGTTCTTTTTACTCAGAACAGCTCTGGGGCCCAGAAACTTTCTTGCAGGCATAGGGTTGGGGAAGAAAAATTCTAATGGGGATCTGGAAGCTGAGGCTTTGAGAAGTACATCAGATAAGACTTGGTAAAACCCCAAAAGGTGGGAGAGCTGATTCAAGTGATGCAGTAATTTCTTCAAGCTGTACAAAAGTAGATTTGAAAAGAGATGGAGGATGACAGTACTGTATCAGTTGTTTCAGAACAAAGTTACAGCCTGTGTAGTAAAAGAACAGATTTACTTCCGTAAAGCCACCACAGCAAATTTTACACCTCAATAGAAGATAGCCAGTGCAATGCAATGTTTGTTTTGTTTTGACTGCCAGAACTGATTACCTCTTTTGCATGAAAGAAAAAATTTTCACAGGAGTGTTTCACCAGTTCTCAGCTCTGTGAGCTGCTAAAACAGATACCCACATTCTGTGTCTGCAGAAGTTTTAAAAGTGTTTTTTTTTTTTGACAGAGATGTAAGTGAGAAGAACTCAGTCAAAGGGTATGTGGCATCATGTTTTAACATACTATTTTGGGGTACTTTGAATGAATTTAAAACTCCTAATTCTTTTTTTCCCCCTCTTTGTGAAGGTTCAGGAAATTTAATATTTTGGGAACAAACACAAAGGTAATGAACATGGAAGAATCTACTAATGGAAGTCTAGCAGCAGAATTCAGACACTTGGTAGGTTTTTTTTTTTATTGCCACATCCATTTGATTGTGCAGGCAGAGGGTGTGGTAGGAAGACAACAAGTTATTTTTAATATTGAAGTCACTGTTTACTTTTGTGTTAGAGGAAACATGAAGGCTTCTCCCCTTTCTTTATTTTTTCTACCCCTTTTTTGAAATTTTTGGCTTGTTCCAATTGAACTAGTATTACTTTTGACCCCAAAATATGGCCAGAAAGGCAAACAGTATTTGCCGTTGTAATGTCTACATTGTAATGGATTCCTTGGAGGAGGAGGAGATAAAGAAGCCTAGAAATACTGTTTGGGGCCCCTTCAGGGTAGGGCTCATGGATAGGAAAGCTTGGAGTAGCTTAAAGCTCTTCAAGACTGGAAGAGGAAAATTGTCTAAGGAGGGACTGCTACAAGAAAATCTATGCTTTCAGTAGACTGTGCAACACTTTTGCTCTAACAATGCAAGTTAGATGGATTGCATCATAACAACCGGGAAGGAACTTGCATTTAGTTCTGAACCAGCCAGCACAGAATTCCCCCTTCCCTTCATTATCCAGTAGTCACTAACAACATCTGGAGTTTGTTGTCAAATTCCAAGGAGTACTTGGATAAACTACTACTTTATCTGATCCTTCCTGATTTCACCTGCTTCTGTTCCTGTAAAGCCTCTTGTACAAAGGTGTTGCATCATGATAAGGCTGCAATATCTATTTGCACAGCTGAATGCTTTATAAAGGATAGTAGTTACCTATAGTTTAATCCTTTGGCTTCCACAGCTGGGAGGCAAGTAGATTCAGACACTAGCACAGCAAGTTTCCATCCATTTAAGCACCTAGGGCACACAAATGTTTCCATTCCCTACCTGCTTTCATTTGTGGCTTAAGTAGATAAGCCATTTTTTTTTCTTCTTGTTTGTTTGCAGCAATTGAAGGAACAGAAAAATGCAGGAAGCAGAACAAATGAGGTAAGCAGCACTTTGTTGACAGAACATTTGCATAATAACCAAAAAGGCAGTTGAACACTTAAGACAGAGCTCCACTCAGCACCATGGGATGAGACATTAATAATAAACACACAGGATGAGACATTAATAGTAGAGGAGCTCAGTACTTCTAGGAAATGAAGCATCCGTGTAGGAGCCATGCAGAAGAGGGAACTACTGCCAGAACAGCGCCTGCTGGACTTTTCCCTCATTGGCAGCTAGCTTTAATGGGACTTTCTGCTAGTGACAGACTTTTCTGTGGCTTCCAGATAGCAGCCATAAAAGGGATGCCTAGAGAGCTCCTACTAAGAGGCAAACAGTTTGTAGGAAGTTACCACTGTCTGTGTGTACTGTAATCTGTAAATAGTTTCTGAAGTCAAGAGGAGGGGATATTCCAGAGCAAGGGCCCTCTAGAGAAGTGAGCTTTCCTCATGCTTGGGCAGAGAAGGCTTTGCCGTGATGTATTCCTCACACACCCCCATATAAATAGACTTTTTACTCCTGGAAGTTTTAGCAAGAAGTAAATATTAGGGTACTGACAAAGCATTTTGTTAAAAGGTAGGCCAGAAGGAAGAAAACTATAGTTTGTCTGTCTAATTTAGGAGACTATAGATTGAAAAAGAAAATCTCCACCCTCTGATACCCATCTTAATTCCTTGAAACATTCATTTGAATGTCTTAGGGAAGAATGATTCACAGGGGACTTAATCTGTATCAACTACCAAATGCTAAAGGGAACAATTTTGCAGTATTGGTTCAGCTGAAATAATCAAGTAGGACTCAAGTAAGAATGCAGTGTTTGTTTCTGAACATTATTTAATGCAATATTAGGAGGCAATAGCAAGGCTACCGTCCTCAAACAACTGTGAGATTTTTAGTTAATTTTATGATTTTTCTTTCTTTGAAGGGTCCTCTCATTGTAACAGAGGAACTTCACTCTTTGAGCTTTGAGACCCAGCTGTGCCAGCCTGGCTTGGTAATAGATCTGGAGGTACGTCTTAAGTAAAAGATAGGTGGAATGAACTCCCTGTATATCACTCACACTGAAAAATCTAAACAAAAAAACTTGTATATTAAACACTTTCAATTGTTTCCAAACATACAGAGGACATTTCACAACATCTGTGTAGCAAGAATGCTCTCCAATATCTGTGCAAGAAGCAGGGAACATGCTTTGCAAAACATTTAGTAACTAATTCTGTGTTGTAAGTTCTCCAGATATCAGTTTCCATTTATTTCAGAAGCAGTACATGAACTGTGTTATTAGTAAAGTGCTGTAATAACTGGTATTAAGTGAAAGCCTTTATCAAAGTAATCAGACAAAAATCACTTCAATCTTCCTTTCTAGTACTTCACCATGCTGAAATTCTGTACTGCATGCAAACTTCAAGTAGAAAAGCTAGGATCGCACGAGCAGGGAATTATAGTGGAAACTCATTTGTAGCTAATCTAGAGAAGGACTGCAGCAAGAGTACAGGATAGTCCGACATGTTTCCTCCTGTATCTTTTTCAGACCACATCCCTTCCCATTATTGTGATCTCAAATGTGAGCCAGCTTCCAAGCGGATGGGCTTCTATCTTATGGTTCAACATGCTCTCTACTGATCCCAAGGTATTTGCAGAAAACCAAACCAATTTGTGTTACTTTCAAAGATTGTCTTTTACATAAGTGACTTAGGTAGTTTTTTCAATGCAGATGACTTTGTTAATGGCCTTTGGATGTAGAAGGAAAGGCAGAGAGAGTCATTTCGCTGTCCTAATAAGAGGAGTGTTTGGAGCACATGTAGAAATATTGTACATTGTATTCAGTATATACAGTGAGAGGCTAGATATATACCTGAGAATTCAAATCCACTGCACTTGATTAATCTAAGTCTTCTCCCACTGGGAGAAATCGATGTCCAAAAGAAAGTGCTTTTCCAGTAAAGAGTACCCATCAGAATAGCAGCCTTCTTTTCCAGATCTATCTCAAGCTGACGTCCTTTCCCAAATCTCTATTTTTTGGTAGGATGCGCTTACATATTACCTAACTGTATGTTTTATTTTTCCCCTCCGTTCTAGAACTTGTCCTTCTTTCTGAATCCACCTTATGCAAAGTGGTCTAAGCTTTCTGAAGTTCTGAGTTGGCAGTTTTCTTCTGTAACGAAGAGAGGACTTAATGCAGATCAACTGAGCATGCTGGGAGAGAAGCTACTCGGTATGGTCTTATTTCAGCACTCCACACCTTTTTCTTCTGCTGAAGAAGAAATGGCATGTTTGGCTTGAGGCTAATTCTGCCTATCTTCTGCAATTAACTTAAGATTTTTTACTTCCTCTCAATCCTTTCCCCTCACATAGTATCTCATATGCGAGGAAAGTGTTTTCCAGTCTTTAGTAGGGTAGAGTTCAGAAGCAAGTGAAATCTAACAGGATACAACTCACATACTGCTTTTGTGATGTAAAATTTGACAGAATCTCAGTCTCTAATGCTAGCAGTATGAGAAACTAGCTTCCTAACTAAACTTGTTCTTGGACGAGAAGGAAGAAAAGCCGATTTCTGACATAACCAAAATCCATAGCATGGTCAATAATGGGAAGAATTGGGCAAGAATATAGAAGAATATAGGCAAGGGCTGCAAACCTTTAGCTACTGTAGTCAGTGTAAGACTTCTTTGCACTGAGGAAGTGACTACGAAACATGGTTGACATGATTAAAACAAGAAAAAAAACACACTTGATTGTAACAGGAATGAAGAGAGTCCCTGCCTGCTCCAGGCAGGCCTAGGAGTCAGGTTATGGGGCACAAGCCTACAAGTCACCAGAATTGAGACAGCAAAAATGCATAATCTTACAGTGATGTTGTGGGGGGGGGGGCTGCTGAGCTCCTAGATAAGAGGAGCATGCCTTGCAATTTTCTTGTTTTGCTGGATAAGAGATGCAAGAGATTCAGATCCCTTTTCTGGAAGTGTTTTAAAACTGAGAAGTGCTACAGGTAACAGCATAGCAAATGTCAGAATGAATTAAATCCTATTATGCAAGGTCTGCATTGCTCTGTGTGGCCTGTTAAAACAGCTTTTTGTCATTTTTCACTGAATGTTTCTGGAGGGAAGCCTTACAAGCCACTATGCTCTCCCTGCTTTAGCCAGGGAAATACAGTAGCTCTTCATTTCTTCTAGTCCAACAGCTAAGACAGTTGTAAATAAACACTTAGAACTTGGTGCTATAGGCAATTTACTTTCCATAAGTAACTTAATGTGACTGAAGTCAATTTATTCAATTTAGGGCCAACAAGTGGAGGATCGCATGATGGCCTTATTCCTTGGACAAGATTCTGCAAGGTATGAACTCAGTTTAAAAATTGAGAGAGAACACAGAGCTTTGTTTTGATTCCCCCCCCTCCAGATGCTTTCTTTTTCAGTAGTTAACACTAATTAGTTTGTATAGTTGTAGGGGGTTTTGGTGGTGGGGTTAAAGTAAAAGGGGAAGGAGGGAAAAGGGCTTGCAGGCAGTAGAGGATTTGGAGATGGCTATTAATAGGTTTTCCATTTTTTACCGCTACTGAAAGTGTCAGAAACCAGCAAGATGAACTGTTCTTTTGTCTTAGTGAAGGGCATTTCCCACACCAGGAGCAGCAGAATTAGGGCAAGTGTTAGCACAGGGCAGCCAAGAGGGTCAGCGTGACTGTAGAAAGCCACATCATGAGATTTCTTAACCCTGGCTGCAGTAGTCTGCAGTGAGATGGGAAGACTCTTCCCCACGCTTTGGCTTTAAACACTAAGCTGGTGTAGATAAGAAGCAGATGACAGAAGCAAGCAGTACAGGAGAAAAGAACAGAGCCCAGGGGAAACAGTGGCAAAGCTCTGGTGACCTGGAAGCACCCAGGTTCATTAATATGAGTCTATCCTGAGGAATGGAAATCCAAGTCCAAACAGAAGGTAGAGCTCTAACCATTCTGCCAAGGAACCTGGCTTAAAGCACCACAAAATAGGTTGAGTATCCAAGAGCTCTATTAAGAGCAGTACCCAGATTGCACCCAGAGCCTTTTCTGCCTTCTTAATCCAACATAGCTGAACAAGAGGTGTCAGATCACGTTTGTAGGTACTGTAGGCTCAGGCAGGCATCTGTCAGACATCACGCTGCTGCTTGCCTTCAGATCCAGTGTATGCTTCATTCCCAATAGCCTCATAGCTTCTGGGCTTTTGGAGTAGACTAGCAAAGTGGAAAAATAGCAAAGAACAGAAGAGGGGGGGCAACAGGGGAGAGGGAGGCGAAAAGAGAGAAAACACACACAAAACCAGACAGATGCTGGCACCTGTCAGGACAGAATCAAGAGCCTGCTTGCTTCCCTATCCCCCACACA